TAATCACAAAAGATCATGCAATGGCGCAACATTATTGCAGGTCCTCTGTGACCCCTGTTACAGTTCACGTTGTTTAGTTATTAAGATCAGTTTCTGAACCTACGATTACTTACAATGATCAAGACTGAGATATCATCTGTGTAGAACAGCTATCAAGGCCCATTCACTCACATTCATGCTGTAAGCACATTTTGTATGAAAGCATACTACAAGTAAAAATCTCATTAATTTTTGTTTGGATAATTCACACCTATACTCTGCAACAAAGCACATCATTTAAAGCTAGAAAAAAACATTTTTAACTATTTGCCTTAGAGGAACTTTCAGACATTAAATGAAATGTGGAAACTGCCCAAAAAAGCCAGCAGAAAACAAAATACTAGTATTGGATTTAGTCTTCCTGCAGCTGATTGTTTCCCATTTACAGACTTGCCATACCTTGTTCCGCACTGTATTTGGAGGTGGCTATCCTGGTCGAGGAGCCAGGTTTTTGCTTCCTTATGTCAGACCTGCACCCCTGATGACTGCTTCATTCACTTACCTCCTGCATCTTGATTATTCCCGCACCACAGATCCACAGAATGAATGACACATAAAAATGGAGATCCTTGCACTGCTGGTTCCTATTCAGCAAGCACTGAGAAGAACAGTGAGTAGAACAGGAGTGCCTTCTTCAAATCTCCTTCCATATCTCTCACATTGCAGATATACAGCTATCAGGTCCAAGGCACAGGAGCGCCTAGACAAAGCAAGTCTACTGCTATATTTCAGGAGGAATTCAAGATGTTCAGGTTACTGCATAGACACAGTTAGCATTCCGTACGTTTTGTAAGATTAAAAAATCATCGCTTTTTGAGTTCAGTTCCTCCATTTTGTGCAAAGTGTAAGCAAAAATGTACAAATTGCATCTGAAAACATGTGCCCACGTTGCTGCATGCACCTACGTGTGAAATCGAGCTTAGGATCTGTTTGCAATAGATTAGGTTCATAGCACATTAAATAGATTTTTTATGCACCAAACGTGCAAGATCATTCCTCTCTGTAATGTTTAGATTTGGGCATTTGTTAGCTAGGAACGAATCCTGCACATACAGTTTTTTTCCTCCATGAATTCATATTTTCCATTTAAAGAACTACTCCAGGATGCAAATTACTTTATATATTTAGGTCCCCCTCAGTTAGAGGAAGCAAACTGCTGTAACAATTTATCATAACAGTTCTAACTTTTCTTGTAATTCTTGTTTTTAGCTGCCAGTGTTGTCACATCCTCCTATTACTAGATCGGTCCTTCCTGCAGCCAGTGGGTGTATCTAGGTAACCAGTGCGTGTCATATCCTGGCATAGAGAGCTGACTACATCTCCCATGAGGCATAGTGGAATTGGGAGGCGTATATAGGCAGAGCTGAGGATAGAGATGGGAAGAGCCAGAAAGTGCTATATGCTCCAGTGACTTTAGTTTTTTTTTTTTTTTTTTTTTTTTTTTTAGTGCAGAAACAGGGAATAGATAGATTACAGGTGTCTCTGCATGACAAATTCCCCAGCTTTGAAGTCATCCTACCTCCTAACAGTCCAGCAGGGCATCTGGCTGTGTGGAATAGTTCTTTTTGAATTGATTCTTTTCAGTGAACTGGATGCAATGATTCATCTGACTGAACTGATAACTGATTCATTTGAAAGGGTTCAGTGTTGAATCAATAGGACAGAAGCTCTGTTAATATAATCCTAGAGTGAGAGAGGTCGGCTTCTGCCAGCCCCTCCCTGCAACCAATCAGCCAGCTAACAGAACACTGAGAATCAGAACTAAGAGCAGTTCTCAGTCAATAGTACACTAGGGATGTCCCGATACCACTTTTTTAAAACCAAGTACAAGTACTTTCCCTCAGGTACTTGCCGATACTTTTTCTTAAAGGGACATGTGACATTTTTTCTAAAACAGCACAGACTGATGATTTTAGGGCAGTTTCTATATAATTATCAGCAATGTAGAATGGCAACCAGCAATAGAAGACTACAGGTCCCATCAATCCATGATTTTACAGCAATTATTTGTACAGGGCTGTGTGCAGTTTTACCAGGAACCGAACAGGGTCTCTTTATTAGGCAAACACATTGACAACAATACACCAATGTGAGACCATTATATACAGTGACAAACCATAAAATGAGTGTGAACCCCCCTCCCGACGTCACCATGATGTCATATTCCTGCCAGAAACTGTTTAAAATAATAAACTGTCAAAGCAAATTGAAAACAGTAATACAGCAATAGATATAACGTGGACAAAATGCATAAAGAACATGACTTGAACTGACATAAGCTAGTCGATTCACTTACCAGCTTGAATGTGGCATAAAAGGTAGATTGGGTCAGTTACAGAATACAGCGATGTACAGCGGCCTCAAAGCGTTGTCCTGGTAACCAGGATACTGCCACAACTGTGGGCAGATCCGCCGACGCTCAAGAGGTAGGGAGTGGACAGTAACAACCGCGGCTGTGTAGCTGCCTATACCCTATTGGCTGATTCTGACATTAGTGCTCGCCTCCTCAGTCCCCTGGACGAATCACAGGAGCTGCACACTGAGCACGAGCATAGTCCATAACTGCCTTCTCTTGTGGGACAATAGAGTCCAGCAAGCCCAGGTACATGGGAAACAAGGAGACACAGACAGCCGATGCACAGCAGACGCGCCGCAGTCTCTAACCCCTCCCACACCGATCCGGCTTTTCATCAGCAGGTCAGTGCTTGGTGCTTGAGGCCACTCGCTGAAGCTCGCGCTGCCACGCGCGGGAGAAGCGGATGGCGGCGCGTGCTGCTTTTTTGTTTAAAAAATTTAAAGTGCCGGTATCGGCCTTTGGAATCAGGGCATTTTCAGGAGTACAAGTACTCCTGAAAATGTCCTGTATCGGCCCCGATACTAGTATCGGTATCGGGACATCCCTAGTAAGCACATATTTTTAATACTTCCAAAAACTAGTTACAGTAGGCGGAATTGTTTTCCCCCCAGAGTTCTTTAAGTGATTTAATTAGGGTCCCTTTTGAAACACACAATGAACACATTTTTCAAGTTTCTGAATCATTGTACCTATTTTTTAAGGTGTTTAATCAGGTCAGGCCCTCAATTTTCTATATTCTGTTATTTGTATATACAATCGGTAATATACACAATGTTGTTAGTTATGTAGACAAGGGGCAAAACACATAGCTGTAAAAATAACAGTTGTGATTATATTTAACCAGTTCATGATACAGGGTTGCATAGAGAGCCCGATATCTCCCAAACAATCAGCGGGGATAATTGCCTGTTCTCAAGTGAGCCATGATTCTCACCCAGTAGTGACAGTAGTGTAGAGCTTACCCAACAAGGATATCAGAAACATCTGATTATCGCAAATAAGATGGATGGATTTTCCTAGCCAATCACTCTTGTTTCCCCTGTTGAACCAGGCAGTCAGAAAGTACTAATTCATCTCTCTTCCATAGGCACACACATTCAGGTTTGCTAAATTTGAACTTGTGTGTAGAATAACCTTCAGCAGGCAGGTGATAGTTGGGTATTGTGGTTCAACAAACAAGTGATAAAGAGCCTTTTGTAAGTAATAGGCGTTTTTTTTATTTAGGAATCTTTTGCTGTTTTCTAAGACCTTGTTCACACCATATGGACTACCTATGTGGTAATAAATATGTAGAATGAATTATTGAGTTCAGGTGTTTCCAGTGAAGGGTACTGTTCATGCTAAAGCATACAAACACATTTTAAAGAGTTGTGGGCTTCCAAACATCAGTACCAGTTTGGCGAAGGCACCTTTTTTGTTGTATGACTGCCATTGTGTACAAAGCCAACTCCATAAAGTCTTGGTTGAATGAGTTTGATTGTGGAGGAACTCCAGTGGACTTCTTATCCTGACCTCACAAAAGCTCTGTTGGCTTAATGGCCACAAATTCCCACAGACCTGCTCCAAAATCTTATGGAAAGCCTTCCCAAAAGAGTGAATGTTGTCATAGCTGTACATGGGGAGGGGAACTTCACATTGATTTGGTTTGGAAATGGAATGTTCATATAAGTGTGTTGGTTAGGTGTCTACAAACATTTGGTCATATAGTGTATGCAGTAATGTGTTTTGCATTAGCATGTATTGAAATGTGTTTTTGAATATGTTGTATTGCTGTTAGAAGGCCCCCCTTGGTTGAATGACTAAATTCAGGTTTGCCCACCAAAAGTGTAACTTGTAAGACTTTTTCCCAACATGTGGCACTTCAGCACTTTGGTGGGAACACTCAACTAAACAAAATGCAATTAATTTCCTTAGGTCTGCACTAAAAAATGCTTGGTAGCATAAATAGTATGAACAAGCCCTAAAGGGAAAGCTTCATTAAACCAGACTAACCAGAGCAATATTTCTTGTTTAACTACTACATTTCATTCTATAACTGTAATAATTGTTTCCTAAAATATGTTGTACCTTTTAAGTATAGTATGTGTGTATTATTATAAAGGGGTTTGTAGTACATTTGTAGATCCTTGAACAAAGTCAGATATCACATCTGTATGGCTTTCCTGATCCAAATTAGTCTATTTACCCAGCTTTGTTGATGTTGTTTTCATGGTCCTGATTCATGCTGCTTTAGCATGTCCTAATGAAAGTTACTTTAAAGTGTACCTGTAATAAATTCAAACAGAGAAAGTTGACAGCACGTGTTAAATGCAGATATCGCCCTAATGCTAGGGTCTTCCTATTATGTAAATGCCAACGTCAGACCCACCTCCCATGGCTTACTGTTGGTCAGTGAGGTCTCCAGTCACCGTAATGGAGCACTAATAAGGGATTGGAATGGGAAGTCTAAGCCAGACTCGTTTCCTGAAGCTAATATTTGCATAATAGAGCTTGATGGCCCTTCAGAAGAAGAGTAACGGTGTTGTGTAAACATACAGTACCCAGTACAATTTGTCTTTACCCTTTTTAACCGTGTCAATAATGATTTTTTTTTTCACACCTGCAGGAGACGTCTGATCTCTCAGCGGTCTTCACTAGAAACACTTGAAGACATTGAAGAAAATGCTCCCTTGCGGAGGTAATTTTTTAAACTATTTTCTTGGTATTTAAGAAAACATTAGTTTTGTGTGGTTGCTGGAAGGTTGAATTCACATGCTGTGTTCCTTTATGATTTGGTGACTCAAGTGGCAGCCATCTTAGAGATGGCCTTAAAGTAACTTGTGATTTGTACAAATTAACATAAGAAAATGAATGACATGAAAAAGGTGGGTATTGTTAGTTTATGGGTATGTGCTTGTTTGCTGAATACTGCTTCCTTTTGGGAAAGCAGTGGAGAAATGTCCCTTTTTAGCTCATGTATTTTCAGTAAACCTTTTCTGTCATCTGGCCATGTGGACTGACAACTCAGAGCCTAATTGAGATGTACTCATTCATGGCCCCTTTGGAAGATAGTACTAATGCTTATACACTGCCCACTGATCTACTGCACCATTCCAGCAGGAAACTTCTCTAGACCATCTCACAATGCCTGTCAACCTGTAGATAATTGCAACATCGCCATAACATGAAATAACTTGGAATGGTGGTAATCAAAACTTCATGGAACTGGAACATGGTCCAGATAAAAGAAATAGTCAAAATGCCATTAAAATTATAAAAACAAAACAAAAAGTTGTACAGTACTAGAAATTTTAGGATGTTCCAGGAGCTATAACAAGTTCTTATATATAATTCTCACCACCTGCTGATACTCGCTTTCCATATACTCCCTTCCATGTACTCCCTTCAATGTACTTCCCTGCCGCTTTGTTGAAGCTTTTAGTAGAACCCTAAACTCTTGGATATAGAAGTAAATGTAACGGTCAGGATGCAGAGCTCAGGCCTGGGCAGCCAATGACAAGGCCCACACATGTCACCTAACCAGAAAGAAGAAGTTAACCCTATGTAAGATCCAACAGAGAGCATACAGAGGATTAGGACACAGCACTCCAACAGAGCGATGGGAAAAGTATTAGTGGTTGGGGATTTTTTTTCTTACAAAATGACCTTTTACTTTGCCCTAAGTGTACAGAGTGAGAGCGTTTTTGTTTTTTTAAAACAAAAACAAACAAACATATGCCAGCAATGAATACTGAGTGTACATGAAGCAGGCCTATGTAGTTGTTGTGTATGAACACTAACTAAAAAAAAAAACTAACTTTTTTTGTTAGCTGTCCTCTTCATGGCTCATTGGCTTGAAATGGCTGCCTCTGTGCTCTACATTAACTCTTAGTTTTTAATAATTATTTTCTGTTCTTTGTCCTTCAGTGAACAGAAGAGAACATTTTAGATTTTTTTTTGTACCCACCTTTATACCCCCAAAATAAAGCCCTATCTGTCCCCAAAAAAGGGTATAAAATTCATTTCAGTACAGCGTTGCAATATAACCCAGTGGTTAAGATCTCCTGTTCTTCGCTGTGTCCTTCAATAACGCAGAAAACAGAATTTTATGTACAAAAAAAATCCAACTTTTAGATCATACCTTTTCAGTAAATCAGTCCTGCTGGTCTGGGAAAATGAGATAAATAGGTAAAGGGGTAAATACTATGAAAATCGGAGAAAATACACTGCTGTATTAAAACAGGACAAGGGGTACTTTTAGGCTCCAGAAACTGAGTAAAACTAGATCTCTGGTTTGTAGCAGCCATTGAAGCTTGAGTCTTCCTATAAAACATAGTCTGAATACAGCAAAAGCAGACCATAGTCATTTCTTTGATCTATTTCTCATAAATCAGTGCATTTTTGTCCACGAAGGTTCATCTGTGATATTTATCATTGCCTGCTGATTTATTTGGGTGCAATTGAAAGGGCTACAGTGATGTTATAATACTTTTATTTTAAATGTATTTGTCTTTTAACATGTACATTAAATGAGAGGAAAAGACTTTGCCACGAGAAAGTATTACAATGTAGTTGAAAGACCTCCTAATTGTTGTGTCGTGTGTACTTCAGTTGTCTGTGAAAAGTGGGTAGACGGCAGTCATTTGTCAGATCTTTCCTTCCTGTCTTTGTGCATACATGCCAAGAAAGGTCTCACTTTGTGCTTTAATTGCCTTATTTTTCAGATGTCGGACTCTGTCCGGTTCACCTAGACCAAAGAACTTCAAGAAGGTCCATTTTATTAAGAGCATGAGGCAGCACGACACGAGGAGTGGCAGGTAACACTACAAATAAGCACTTTCTCTGTCACGACGAGAAAGTTGATTATGTATTGATTTCTCCTCTTACTGCTACTTTTCTGTCATTTATTGTGTGGGATTCCTGAAAATTACACAGTTATCAAGCAAAGTCTGCCTGCACAGATGAGAACACAAGGCAAATTTAGCCCTGTATAAAAAAAAAAATATATATATTTTTTTTACAATTATGGTCATCGGATCACAGCTTCTGATATCATGAACCTTGTTCCAATTGCATAAATATTGATCTGTTATTGAATTCTATATAGAAATTTTCATTCACTGTTTGAAAGTAGTACCGTATTTGCCGGCGTATAAGATGACCCCCTACTTTTTGTGTTAAAATATAGGTTTTGGGCTATACTCGCCGTAGAAGACGAGTATAGCCCAAAATAATGTTTAAATGCACCCACTAACATCCATGGCGATATTCCCGCGTGTGGCTCGGGGTTAATTTTCAGTACCATAAGCGGTAACCCCGAGCCACACTCGGGATTACAGTCTCTTACCTTGTCCACGATCCCCGCTGTGTCCGCCGTCTTCCGCTGAGTCAATCAGGGCAGGCTTTGTATTAATGAATACAGGCTTTGTATTTATTAATACAAAGCCTGCCGTGATTGGCTCAGCGCAGTATACTGTATGTAGCCAAAGCAACATACAGTATACCGTATCCTTCCGTATGTACACGGCGTATAAGACGACCACCGATTTTCGGGGGATGTTTTAAGGTCTCAAAACCCGTCTTATACGGTGGCATACTTGGTGGCATACTTGTGTCTAAACACAATACTGACAAAACTCCTGGCTTGTACTGTATAGTAACCATCTAACTTAATTGCCCCTCCCCACATTATACAACATAATGAACAGAGTAGATATCTACCTACCCAACATCTAACTGAAACGTCATGCAGAGATATCTGGAAGGGTAACAGGAAGAGAGACTCACCAACTCATTTCCATGTGTGTAAATTTCAGCTTGAGCTAAGGAGCTCTGTACACAGTTTTTTTTATCAATAGATAGTTTCCAGGTTTTCCTTATCTATGTGAAAGCAGCCAGGAGCCTTTCATACGCAATATTTCATTTAGCTAATGAAATAAAAGTTTTAAAGAATACTTTTCAGGAGTTCTAGAACAAATTTCCCTCTTGTTTTTAGGAAATACTTGCCTACCTTTTATACCCAGATCGTGATCTGGGTATAAAGGTAGGCGTATTGATGTAGTGTGCTTCTACGTTGAAGCTAAAATAAATCCCTGGACACAGTCCGGTTTTCTAATTTATTTACAAAATCTCTCATATCCTCAATATATGAGGAGAGAGGGTATGAACATTGTTGATCAAATAGGTTGCACTGCAAGGGTTAAGTGCTCATTTTGGTTTAAGGACAAAAATGAAGGAAATATACTCGATATTTGGTCCCGTTTGGCTGCTGGACCGTTCCCTGCAGCCTCTTCTTCCCCTGGCCCAGGTGGTCCAAGGACCCATGATGTCATCATGTATGATGCGAGGACGCCAGGGGACATACCACAACCAAGGCAGAGAAAGTATTAAGAAGTCGGTCTTGGAGGATAAGGAGCAATAGATTACTTAAACAGAGTAATAAATCCTAGATTTAGAAATATATTTAGAAAACTGCTGTTTTCAGAATGTAGCACAAAATTATTATTTTTTGTCCTGTGGGTGAGATGTGTGGTTTGAGAAAGCACATGACCTCTTTATTATCCAATAGTGATGAGGCGAGGCTTGGTGCAAACCCTATTCATCTGAGTTCACCTAAGCCGACTCAAAACTCTGGCTGCTGCCCCCTCCTCCCGACCTAATTATTTGCGAGGCGGTACATTCTCCATCCCAGCTACAGTAATGGCCAAAAATATTGGCACCCCTGCATGATAATGTACCACTTAGTGGTGCATTATCTGACAGAAATGCAGGGGTGCCAATGTTTTTGGCCATGACTATATATGTCACAAAGGGGCATGGAATTCCCCCGTTGCAACTGCTGCAACGGATTGGTTTAGGAGCAGGGGTGGCAGTCAGAGTTGTGAGCGGGCTTGGGTGAACTGGGTTCGCACCAAGCCCAGCTTCATCTCTATTGTCCAATTAGAAGGGTGCATTACTGAACCAAAAAGATTCATTGCTTTCTTTGAAGCGATGGGTGTCACCTTGCTGGCTGTGCAGTGTGTGTACAGCTGGCCATACACCAGTCATTGTTTTCTCGAGCCAGCCCTGCTGGCTGATTGAGAAAAAATTCTTGATTATACAATCCATGCTAAACAGTGTGGATGGGGGAATCCCCACCGCTGGGCTATTTTATTCTGACAGTGTCAGGTGTGCTGCTGTAGCAATACCTGAAGTGTGGCTGCAGCTGATTTGCTAAAAAGTTTCAGACCGGCTCCTTTGATAAGTCTATTGTAAAAATAATTTCTAAATTGGAACCAGCAGGACTCGGCTGAAATTCTAGCAGTGTATGTCTAACTTTACACTGGGTGTAGATCATCTCAAAACCTTTCCCAGTTTAAACACTAATCACATATGTATTTCAACTGTGTGTTTAGCTGTTTGCTTTTCAATTCTAGCGTTTGGGAATGGGAGTTAGGTGTCAGGATAGAGTATTTATCGATAACGTGGAGGTCAGGAATGTCTGGGTACACTGTTTTTATATTTTTTGTCATTCAGTGCCAAAAGCCCTTTGTTGAGAAATGCCAAACATGACTCCAAAATGAATGTGCTGGTCTTAGAGTGCACTTTGGAATCTAAATTCAGCAGGGATAGGCAATGGTCAGCTACTTCATAAAAAACAGGAAATTGTATTATAAGACTCAGTAAAGAAATCAGACCCCATATACTGGAGAGATAACGTACGACTCTAGGCAAGTGGCTAAATAAACGGATACAAGTGCCTGATTTTACCTATTGGTTTTACACTTGTATTATGGAAAATCCCAGAGAGATGGAGGAACCCAGATATAACAGGAGGAATGAGACATCCAGATAGGTGGGAACAGAGATGGGATCTATAGCAGTCCTAGCTGGAGTCCTTAAACTAGTATTAAACGCTCAAACTTTTTTAAAATAATGAATCCACATTAGACAAATATACATTGTCCAGCAAAGTATACCTTTACATTTTTGCCCAAACATTTACAATCATATTTCCAAACAGCTAGCTCCAAATCTCTTATCCCAGCTTCTCTGAACGTCCTGTAGATTACAGTAGCAGCTGCCCATCTACTAGCTTGGAGAAGGGAAAGTGGAGAAGGAAAGCGGTTGGAAGGGAGAGAGGGGGGGCAGGGAGAGGGGAATAGTTTGCCTTGCTGTGCCTGTGTGTTTGTAGAGACATACACAAGGGTGGCCCCATAGGACACTGCAAGCTGAAGGAGCCACCCTAAAACTGGATATCAGGGCCAGTGCTCAGGGGACCAGCTGATTCTGCAGGAAACTAACGCTTTTAAACATCAAGCAGCCACAATCCATTGTATGTAATTTAATCAGCATTTAAAACTGCTTAAAAACAGTTTGCTTTTAATATCACTTTAAGATATTAGAAGTTAGCAAGTGATTTGGCCCACTGGGCTCCACTTTTAACGGAAACATCACTTAAGTGCCCTGATCTTTTACCTGCAAGGCTTTCCATTTCTGTTTAAGTAGCAATTGCCAGGAGTCCAATTTTATTAGAAACATTACCAAATATCCAGGAATTTGGACAGTATAGATCAGGCATTCACATCTGTTATTCCCATTGAATTAATTGTGCTGTTTGATTTCCTTTTCAGAATAGTCCTTATAAGTGGGAGAAGATCATTCTGTAGCATATTTTCAGTGCTGCCCTATCGAGACTGTGCTTATATTGGGTAAGTTCAGTCATGGTGTGTTACAATAGCTTTAATCTCTTTATAACCACATTTAATAGAACTTACTTAGTAGTAATTAAATTAGCCATGTTGGATAACTTTTCGAAAATCTATCAAATTCTGTAAAACTATATAATGTACTAAAGTCTGCAGTTGCCAGGTACATGTGCATAAATATACAGTTGTATTCCTTTTGAGGCTACTCCTTATCCTTCATTTTAGAATTAGGGAAACTTTGCCCCCAAATTAAATTTGCTAGGAGGTTGTGCTTTAGCCAGAATGCAAATAAACAGACACATGATAAAAGATTATAAGCTCTGATACTCTTTATAAAACGAAATCAGAAGTATCACAAGCTTGCTATAGTGTACACATATGCATTATACTTTACTACTGCATTTCAAGCACAGTTTTTTCCCCAGAATCTGTATAAACCTTTAGATTTTTGGTACTATATGTATATTTTCCATGAAGCAAGGTACACCTGTTGGTTTCATTAGCTGTTTTAGGCATAATGAATGCCGAGATCCCCATAACTGTGCACATGCCCCATCAAGAATAGTAAACGATTAGATATGTTTCCGTCACTAAGCCTGTCATAGCTCTGCTTAGTACCATGTTCTGTGTGCCTTGGCCAGTGTCAACATACGGTTCATGTGTGGAAACACCTTTCATTTTCCCTTTCCTAAAGAACACCATTAGCGCCTGCTTAGATAGATTTTTCCGCAAGCTTTGGGCTGCCACTTAGGGAAGCCGCTCATTGCCTGATCCTGATTCAGTCCTCACTGGGATCAGGCATATTGCTTCAGAAGATCAGGTCATTTATGACCATCCTGACTAAAGGGTGACTGAGGTGGGACCTTAGGTGTTCAGAGTGTTTACAAAAGTGTTCTACTCCAGAACCTCATCAGTCATTTTCACTTCTGAGAAGCTTGTGAAGTTCTGACATCTACGTCTGTAAATGTTGTGAACTACTCGGTTATGTAATCCACGTTTTATGTTTGTTTTACTGGCCTGCAACAGACAAACGTAAGAAAAATATTGGCACACTAAACTCAAACGCTGTCAGACGTATTCAAAAGCAGACACAACAGTGGTCACCTTTGTAAAAGAACATGATATCACTGCAATGTTATGTACTATTAGAAGACATGTTTGTGACCCGCACTGACATTTTCCATGTTCTTGTGCTTGCCTTTTTGATATCCTAATGCCGGAAAACTGGAAATCAACCTTGTAAATTTGTATTTATCAAACCCCAATTCTAGACATAACTTTATCATTTTGGATAAAGGGTGAGATTTTTTTGGGGGTGAGGAGGAGTTAGGACCCCTGTTTTTACTGCTGGGTGACCGGAAGTGAGGGAACATCTCTCCAGTGGGGACACAGATATCAGTTAAAACCTGGCAGGGGTTCTAAGACTTCCCTTCTTATATTTTGGAGGGAGTTTGCGTTGCGCAGGTTGTTCTGTTATGCCTGTGCAGGCTTTCATGCCAAGTTCTAAATGTATAGATTTGCTGATTGCCTTGTAGAAACTGTAGACATAATAGAATATTGTGACTGGGTATTTGATAGTCAGCTGAAGGCAGAACACCATTGCAGGATGCCGAGTCTTAAAGGAGAACTATGGGGTAAGGACTTTTCCCCATAGTTCTCCTAAGGGTAACGGGAGGACACAAACTAGCATCCTCCCGTCACCCAAAGCTCAGTATACCACGAGCTACAGCTCGCGGTATACTGAGACGCCGCAGCTGAAACGATTATGTCTGGGACCACCCAGCTGCGTGAGTGACAGCTGGCTCTGCCTATCTAGAGGCAGAGCCAGCTGTATCCGCCCCCTCCCGCCGTTCGTTCCGCCAGTCAGCGCTGGAGGATCGGACAGGGGAGGGGAGAATCCAGTCCCTCCCCTGTCACGGCTCTCTGCAGTGACAGGATCGAGAAGTGAGCGATTGCCGGTATGTGTTCGCTCACTTCCCAATCTACTGAGCCGACCTGTGACAGTCTCCTTGTCACAGGTCGGCTAGAACTATGAGGATGAGCATACATTGCTTGTTTGCATGGTTGTAATGGAAAAAAATATGTAACAAACGTGGTAGAGAAAGTGGTTCCATTAATATATGGTAAAAAAAAAGTGGAATTCTGTTTTTAAGGCAGAACTCCAGGCAGAATTTTTCTTAACCCTTGCCGTCTGAGTAATCCAAGCACTGCAAGGGTAAAGTGCTTGTTTTTATCTAAATTCCAAAAAAAAAAGTTATACTCACTAGGAGCACACAGTGTATGGACCTGAGGACGCTGAGGGACATTCTGCAGGAGCAGAGAGGCTTCAGTGACCAAAGAAGCAGGCAGTCGGCTCAGCAGTTCAGGGAATATAACTTTTTTTTTTTTTTTGTGGGGGTAGTCCCACTGCAAGGGTTAACAGTTCTTTAAGTCAGTTCAACCCCTTTTATGACAGTTGTGGTTCATGCTTTAGGGTGAGTGGGAAGCGATTCTAATGCTTCGGTTTAATACACACAGGGGCTGGATTTTGTGTGTGGGACCAGTCTGATTTGTTTCCTGTGTGGGTGACTGGAGCGTTGTCCACAGATGCTGCAGTCCACATTCATTTTAATACAGCACAGCACATTAGATGTTTTGCCGTGCATTCATCTGTATTGATCCATCAAGCTCAAAGTAGATCTAAACTCAGCACTGGAGAGCGGAATGGCAATTGTCTGCAAAGTGATTGGGGCCCCTTTGTGCTCATGGAGATAGGGACATCCAGGTATTTAGGTAGCTCTCATCACCACTATATCAGGTGAACACTTGAGAATGAGTACAAAACTGCCCCATCACCCTGAGCGTGGCTGTTAGCGGGTTATGGCAAATATGCAGTGTACTGTCGTACACACTGCTATACTCAAGCAGACTTTTTGCTACCCTTAATTTGTATGCATTCACACATAAAAGTGTAATCTGAAAGCTAAAATCCAGGCAAACAGCTAAATACTGTACAGAGATGTAGTACAAGTCTTGTGGCAGGTAAACCAGCTCCCACATATGTGTCTGACCATTGAGTCCTGAGCTTTACACTGCTCTGCCACACAGCACAGCCCTGTCTGGCAGGGAAGAAGACCTGATTCTTTTCTAATGTCTGTGACTGGACAGTGAATGGAAAAATAGCAGACTGATAAGCCCAGCTCTGCATCACCCTGCTTTCTACTCCTATCAGCATATTCCTTGTTGGCACATGAGCATTGCAAACTTTCACTCCCTGCTAATTGCACAGCTCTAGCTTAGTGGGTGGCATGGAGGAGCACTACAGACAGGATCGCTGCTCATGCACAGATCACAGGGGCCCTTTTTTTTGTATGCTGTTGAAGGTGAAAATATTATCAAATGAGAGTAATGCATTTAACAATACAGGTGAAACTCGAATAATTAGAATATCGTGCAAAGTTCATTTATTTCACTAATGCAACTTAAAAGGTGAAACTAATATATGAGATAGACTCATTACATGCAAAGCAAGATAGTTCAAGTCGTGATTTGTCATAATTGTGATGATTATGGCTTACAGCTCATGAAAACCCCAAGAACCCCAAATCCACAACCTCAAAAAAGTAGATTATTACATGCAATCAATAAAACAAGGATTGTACATAGAACAATATTGGACCTCTGAAAAGTACAAGCATGCATATGTACTCAGTACTTGGTTTGGGCCCCTTTTGCAACACTTACTGCCATTACTTTTGCACGATATTCTAATTATTCAAGTTTCACCTGTATATGTTTGGCATAGGGATTCAGTAGGACCTTTTTGTTTTGGAACGTACTGTGTTTTTACATTATTTATTATATTACAATATATTTGACAAGTAGGAAAAGGTTGAGATGCTAAGATCTAGATGCACCAGGGAAAGATATCTCAAGATAACGAGAGGCTAAAAGTCTACAGTTCATCAGGGTCAACCATGATAATACAATTGTTGAACTTTTCATTGGCAGTAAAGCTCTAGGAACACAGTTTTCTCTGCATCTCTTATCTAGAATAATGATGGGTACATACAGGACAATTTTCAGACAATGTCAACCAGCTTTCAGTCAGAAAAAGAACCAAAGTTCAAGGCAGCTTACCACTAACACTTTCCATCACATTGCAGTGTTGATAAAAGAAAACTGGTGGTGATTGGTTGCATTCACCTATTTGATTGTTTGGAGATTAGACTCTAAAGCTGGTCATACACTGTTATATTTTCTTGCTTCAACCTGCGATCTGAACGAAGATAATCTAACCGATTCCCCCATCCACGCTTACGGGTGTGGATTGAGGAATCCCCCGCTGTTTGCATTGTATTTTGACAACGCATGATGGCCGATTGGCTGCAAGCTATGTAAACAGCAGCCAGTACTAAAATCCCAAGTGTTGGCTGGTGTGGGCAACTGTGGGGAGCAGTGACCGTTCCCTCTTTCATATGAAAGTGCTTGACCCTACAGACTTGCATCTGGACATGAGCAATGTCACATAGTATAAGGTCACATGCTCCCCCATACTGGAAAGCACTGGCTATTGTCACCAGCTGTGACAGAGAAAGGAAAAGCGAGCAGGGACTTTGGCAAAATAATTATTGCTAGGTTGGGAAGGCTGGTTGGCAAAGACACTCTAACTTTACTCTGAATTGTGTCTCTTTTGAAAATCTAAAAATCACTTCTTATTTGCTCTCTTTTGGTCTGTATAATCTACCATTGGAAGCATTTTATTATATCGGTGGGAAAAAAACAAAACCTGTTGATCAGAAATTCAGAGTTTTCCTGTGCAGACCTCCTGTTATCCTAAAGAGGCGATTGAGCCCTCCTAGTTCTTATCTTGGATTACGGAGTTATTGGTCTATATGTTGTAGTGATCTGAGAGAGGTAGTAGTTGACCTGAAAGTTCAAAGTCCACAGAAATGCTGTGTGTGGTCAGCCCATAACAGAGCTTAGGAGCCGAGTTCATTTCTGGGAGATCAACAGGTGTATTT